TATGATATTGGATTGTAGATTGGTTGTCTTAGTGTTGGCTTATTCTAGACTATTGTGCTACGGGCTATGCCGGAAATGCCACGGGTTGATTGGCGAGGTGCATTGGATTATGTTCTTGCAGAGTGGTATACATTTCAAAAGATGCAGCGGACGGCTGAGAAGGATTGCTTTTCTTAATAGGGCCTTCGTGATGGATGTCAGTGCAGAGGTTTCTACCATTGATTCAGTTCCTTTATTGAGTGACTTTTTTCGGATGCGTTTCTTGTGGCCGGGCATGTCGCCGGGCGAGATTGGGGATTCGGTATTGATTTGGTGCCGGGCACCGTATCGTAAGGCTCCGGCAGGAATTATAGTAGTGGAAGGAGCACCTTCAGGCTTTCTTGGTAATAAGTTCGTTGGTAAGCTGATGTGGCTACGTATTTAGCTTAAGTTAGCTTGGTTAGCCCCGAGCTGTATTGCTGTGGGAATAAGGTTTTAGCTAATGAGAGGTTTTCTAACGGTATTTGGTTGTTATGGGCAACTACTGTGAATAGAAGTTATCGTTTCGAGTGTTTGGGTTATTACAGTTGGTTCTGGCCTATTCTGAGTATAGATGTGAGGTCCTGATCTTGTGTATGATTTCGGAAAGTGCAATGTGATTCTACGATTTATGGTATCGTGACGGACGCATTTGGGATTCAGGTATAGTGATTTGTGTGGCTATATAGAGTTGGAGACTAGGGGTTCTCGTGTTTTCAGGCTATGCAGTTGTATGTAAATCGTGCATCTTGTATCTGGCACCGTCATAGTCAGTTGTTATTGGGAATTTAGGAGTGTCCGATGTGGATCTTTCTTTGGCTTGGTATGCCAGATTTTCTGGATATATATTGACTTGCTCACATGACTGTCTTTTAGTGTTTGGCTATATCTCTAGAGCTATTGTGCTACGGGCTAGTGCCGGGAAATGCCACGGGTTTGATTTGGCGAGGATGCATGGATTATGTTCTTGGCAGTAGTGGTATTACATTTCAAAAGATGCATGCGGACGGCTGAGAAGGATGCTTTTCTTAATAGGGCCTTCGATGCATGGATGTCAGTTGCATGAGGTTTTCTACCATTGATTTCAGTTCCTTTATTGAGTGACTTTTTTTCGGAATGCGTTTCTTGTGGGCCGGGCATTGTCGCCGGGCGAGATTGGGGATTCGGTATTGATTTTGGTGCCGGCCACCGTATCGTCAAGAGCTCGGCCGATTATAGTAGTGGAAGGGAGCACCTTCAGGCTTTCTTGGTAATAAGTTCGTTGGTAAGCTGATGTGGCTACGTATTTTAGCTTAAGTTAGCTTGGTTAGCCCCGACTGTTTTGCTGTGGAAATAAGGTTTTAAGCTAATGAGAGGTTTTCTACGGATTGGTTGTTATTGGGCAACTATGCATGTAATAGAAGTCTATCGTTTCGAGGTGTGTTGTGGTTATTACACCTGGTTTGGGCCGTATTCTGAGTATAGATGTGAGGTCCTGATCTTGTGTATGATTTCGAAAGTGCAGATGTAGATTCTACGATTTATGGCCTAGATGGACTGTGGAAATTTCAGCTATGTTGTATTGCGGACCTATGTAAGGAGTGGGGATAGTTGGATCACCACCGGGTATATGCTTGGTAAAAGTTATTCAGCATGTTGGTTAGCTTTTAGATACAACTCTGGATACGCTCGAGACGAGCGTTTGCTTAAGTTGGGAGGACTGTAACACGACCCGGCACCCCGTCGTGTCAGGTATTACCGCCCTGTTTTCTCATTTATTGCTTTCTTCATATTTTCATTATCAGACACGAGTGAGTTAGAATTGAATTGAAATGGTTTGGATTAGGAAATGAGACACTTAGTCTCTTTAAGGAAGTTTGGTTTTGCGAAAAGTTCAACCGAACGTTGACTATCAGTTAGAAAGCGTCGGATGTTGAATCGGTAACGGTTAGCTCGGATGTGATTTGTGATTTGGAGTGCGATCGGGAAGTGATTTTGGGAGGTCCGGATTAGAATTAGGCTTGAATTGGCAAAGTGGCATTTCTGGCGAATTCCGGTGGTATAGGTGAGATTTTGATCCGAGGGTCGGGAAATGGAATTTTCCAGAGAGTTGCAGTAGCTCCGTTTAGGTGATTTTGTCGACTTGTGTGCAAAATTTCAGTTCATTCCGACCGGGGCGAATGACCTGAAATTTTGCACACATATCCAAAATCATCCTAACGGAGCTACTGCAACTCTCGGTAATTCCATCCGACCCTCGGATCAAAATCTCACCTATCCACCCGGAATTCGCCATATAATGCCCAACTTTGCCAATTTCAAGCCTAAATCTCTACTCCGGACCTCCAAAATCACTTACCGATCGCACTCCTAAGTCAAACATCACCTCCGAAAGCTAACCGACCATTACCGGAATTCACTCCGAGCTTTCTAAACTGATAAGTCAACGTATCGGTTGACTTTTCAACCAAACCTTCCTTAAAGAGACTAAGTTGTCTTCATTTCCTATCCAAAAAATTCAATTCATTCTAACTCACTCAGTTGCTTGATAATGAAATATGAAGAAGCAATAAATGAGGAAAAACAGGGCTACGGGTAATACCTTGATACGACGGGTCGGGTGTTCGTTACATTCCTCCCCAACTTAAGCAATAACGCTCGTCCTCGAGCGTATCCAGAGCTGTTCTAAAGTAACCAACAGGTCTGAGATAACTTTACCAAGCACTATACCCGGGTGATTCCCACCTCCACCCTATCTTACATTCAGGCTCCGAATTACCAACATAGCTGAAATTTCACAGTCCCATCTAGG